ATTTTATGCGATGAAATTGCGGGAACTTGCAAAAACTGCGGTTTGATGAAAAAGAGAAAAAAACTGATTCCCCCAACACCCTGTTCTCACTTCTCTTTAAACCGGCAACAGTATTTTCAACCCTTTCTCTGCTACCGATATATGTTGACTTTTTGCCAACAAACTGCCATGGATATGAACATCGATGCGAGCCCCGACAAGTATTTGCGCGGGAAATCGGCAAGATTTATGCGGCGGGAAAGTGCGGACGTATTTGAAAGAAAATGCGGCCGCGCATAAGCTATGCGGGGACGTTGGCCTGAATTCATGCGTTGAATTTGATCGCATAATCGCGTTTTTCTGGAGGGACTGACTGGTACACAGCACAGGTGACTGACATCTGAACAGAGTGGCTGGACTGAAGGATAAAAATGTCAGATGTAGTATGACTAAACATCACATCAGAGAGGATCCAATATCAGTCAGTGTGCAATATGGATATGGATGATACAGTATATTTTCTGGAAATTCAACTCAACAGGTTGCCAAATGTTTGTTGGCTCCAGATATTTTTTTGTAAACTACGCAATTAACTTATTAATCAAAAAACATTATTAGCCAACCGCAGTGCAGACAGTGCAAAGATTAATCTAAGAGAGTCCAGCATCATAGTAGCAGTGTGACACGAATAGACATAATAAAATTTAAATTCTGGTATCGTGACATCCTTATCTCATGAGAAATATGTACTTTAGATTGTCATTAGATAAAACACAAAACGTGAGACCATTGGTCCTGTTTTTATATAAAAGTATGCAAAAAATAAATACATAATCTAACCTACCTGAGCAGATCGATTTTATCATTTTATGATATTTTTATGGGAGTCATTTTGTCACATATGTAAAACTAGAGTTAACGGCCCTGGGAGGAATTCACATGACAACACAGATAAAGTCAGAGGAATATTGTTAGAGGATAATGACTGGGACTCTCGGCCGTTTGCCTGTAGTGCTGAGTCATCGTCGCTCTGGATAACAGCGTCAACTGTACATAAAATGTGTAAAATACAGAAAGAAAAGTCTACCAGATTCTCTCACACCAAACCGTCACACAGAAAGGAAAAAAAAACAACCGTTAGGCCTCCAGAATTCCAGACATAAGCCATTAAAGGGATTTGGTGTCAAAGTCCGAGGGGTCTTAAGTAACTGGTAAAGATGAAAAACGAGTCCCCATGAAAACCCGCCCTCCCCTCTACACTGTGTTTTTGTACAGGTCGTGTAGTGCTGCATGCTTGGTACTCTAAGCCTATTACACTGATGGATTTCTATAAGAGAGAGAGGGGGAAAAAAGGTAACTCACACCTCCAGACCTGATTTCTAATTACAGGAATGTAAATGAGCAGGATGTACCCTGGGAGGAAAAACAGCGAAGAGGAAAATAACTCAGGAACTCAGGAATCTTTTTTCATGGCCAATCAGTGCACCTGGCTTGTTTGGACCGACTTTAACAAACCAAATGAAGTATTCTGTATTTTAAAATACGCGGAACATTTTAGAGAAATCTTCACCTAAATCTATCACTTATTCAGTACTACATATAACTTTATACGTATTTAGAAAAACCTAATTTTGTAACAGAACTTGTGTCAAATTGATTATATTTTGGACTAAGAGTTACAACCACCTTCTTACTAACTGATATATCGCCTTTCACACAATAGCCAAAGTAGTTTCCAACTAATTATCCCAGGACTTTTTATAAAGTATTAAAAGGATGAGAGCCGGGGGTTTTGCCAGCCTAAGCTCCTCAACCAGGTTGTTGTTAAGCTCAATCAAAAAAGGCCTTAAAAATGATTTTAAGTGAAAATCACGTGGTACGATCCGAAAACCCAGAACAGCTCCTGAAAGGACTTTGTGGTGTGATTGTTGTCTCCACCTCCAAATGGTCTGAAAGCAGAGAGAAAGGGTGAAAGGCCTTCATCCATTTCACTATAGCGGGTGTGACTTCCAAACAGTCCATTCATTTTATGTGGAGGCTCGATTCGAAACGTGTTTGAGACGCAATCCATCGCATTCATCATTTCAACATTTAGTCCGTTTTATGTATTCGTTCAAGGTAATGTTAGTTATGACATTATACATTTCCCTGCATTAACGTTCACTGCTGCTTTACTGCTTACTGTTTGTTCCCCGGTTGCTGTTCACAATAAAGCTCAGAGAGGTTTAAGTCTGTAGGTTTATTCTTACATCACACTGCAGTAAAATGAGCGGAAACCATTGGCTGGCTGGAAGGCACGAAACCAAAAAACGATGCTATGCTATGGTAACATAAACATGATTTGTTGTTAACTGGTAGGGTTATTGGTTTGGTGCTTTAACAGGTCAACTTATGTTCCTACTGATGTGTTAATACAGGACATAGAAAATAAAGCGGGCAGAGAGACACACATGAATCGAAGTATAAATAATTATCTGGGATATTTCCTGAAGGTATCGACTCTTGAGAGTTGTTCCTGTGAATTGTAGCTCGTTCTTCCTCTAATGGTTTGAGCAGGAGAGAGAAAGTCCTGCCCTCTGTTTATTCCCCGTCTCCCATTTCAGGGCTAATGAGACATCACTTATGAACAGAGCACACTGTGAGAAGGAACACCTTGTTTATCATAACCCAAGATCCTCTTAAAGCATTTTACACTAAAAGGATGTCGGCAGAGGGACTCCCAGCTTCAAGGTCGAATTTCTAACTCAGATTCAAACAGACTGTAGCTCCAAAAACATCATTTCTGCAGTCCTCATTAAGACTTCCTCTCATCGTTATTCTGGTGTTCATCCCTCACACTTCCTCAATCTTCGAGCCCGTCAGCTATCGTCTGATGATCATTCAGCCTCTGTGGGCGACCGCCAGTGTTTTGGGGCTCCCAGTGTAGCCAGCAGATATCTGGAAAACACATACGTGCTGGCTACACTTCTGAGCTAAGACTGGCTAAGACCTTCTTCTTCTGATTAGCAATGAATGCAGCTAAATTAAAAACAAAAACAAATAAAAAAATCTATCAGATGACAGCCAGAGATTGGGCGTTCTGCCAACGCTCGCTCCAACGTGACTGGTCGATACGACTCGGACTACAAATGGAAAACACAACGCCTCTGATGTCAACAGAGCTTCTGTATTCATAGGCTGTATCTGTTCATCTGTCGACCCTGCATGTTTTAGGAGTGGCTTGGTGGTCTGTTGACGAACCAGCTGACAGCACTTACCGCCTGTCGCAGTTAGACTTTAGTTCGTCTTTTAGTTATCATTTCAAATAGTGAAAGATGTCCATGACAGTTTCCTACAGCCCAAAGCGACGCCGTCAAATGTCTTGTTTTGTCCGTCCAACAGTCCAAATCCCCCAAAAAGATATTCAACTCACTACAAAGTTAGCAGGGCTGGACCCAAATATTCGACTATTCAGATGTGTGTTGGTTGGGTGGG